AAAAAATTAAGTTTATTATTGAATATAGGTAGTTTATAATACATATTCGTACTATTCGTCGGGATTTATACATTTATATTTAATTTAAAATTTCTTGTTATCACGTAAAGGTAGTAAAATCCATTATTGCATCATTTTTAAATTCAATTAAATTCTATTACCATTGATTAATAAGTTCACTACTTCTTTACTCAACGCTATTACGTTTAAATGTATAAAAACACCGTTATTATAACGTATAGTTTTAAATTTTAAACATCGGTCTTCTTCGGGTAGAACCGAACGGGTTCGTGAAGACGCTTCCCATAATCCGTTGCAATGGCGTTCTTTTGCTGTGTGATGGCGTTTATGGCGGTGTTTCTACATTGTGTGTTGTGATTTCTACTAGGTATTGGCTGTTTATAGACTTGTAATAGAATAAATTCAAGTAAGTAATTAGATTAGGTTTGTTTTGACTAATAGACTGTACCACACAAACAAAATTTACGGTTGCACTGATAATTGGGCGTAAACAAATCGTGAAAACAAGGATTTAAAAAAAATATTTTATAAAAACACATTTTTATTGCTTTTACTTTCCAAGGAATTTTTTTCTATACTTTCTAAATTTTATTTTATCCTCCCAAAGCCCTACCAAACTACAAAGTGAGGTTATAATTTTTATTGTTATCTAGAAAAGCTTTTATTTATTTAATATCTAAAAAAGCTTTTATTCCTATTTAACCGTGAATTTTTTTTATGTGGTGCTCATGAGCTCATATACCGTTCCTTCATTTGCAAGCTATACATAGCCTATGTCATAGGGAAAATACATTGTAGGTGGACCAGACAAGTTAAGTCAGCGCAAAGCAAGGAATGTCTGAATTTCGAATTTACCGGCAGTGGACGTCCAATGGATGTCATTTGGACACTGAGATGTCCAGGGGATATCCTTTGGACGTCCTCTGTACATTTGTGCTGTAATTATAATATAGGTGAATAAAAATGTTTGGTTAAAAATTTTAGGTGTTTTAGTTTTTATTCCTGTCAGCCAAATTATGGCCAAATTTGGTCCTAGGACAGTCTTTAATAGACCATTATAGGACGGCCAAAGGACAACCAAAAGTGTCTACTTTGGAAGTCCTACGGACGTCCATTCGTGGTCTTCGGATATCCGTAGGACGTCCACTATGTCCTGGGTTGACGTCCTAAGGATATCCAGTGGACGTATGTGTGCTATCTGGGTATAGGGTTGGGGTACATTATAATGTACGTACATGGAACGTCCATATAATATTCTTGGACATACTATTGTGCTATGGTCCATAGTCTATGGATATCCATTTGTATAGAGATAGATGTCCTATGGACACCATATGGACGACTTTGTGCTCTATGGGTATTTTAAGTTATTTCAGTTCCATGTTAGTTTAATCTTAATTATAATCCTTGAATTTAATAAAGTTCCTAATACATATAGTTACATTCTGTATTCATTATATTTTATATCTTATTAACCCGGACAACAATCGCGATTTCCTGGTGAAGTCATGATGATATCACAACGTGATTTTTTTTATCACGCTGTGATATCCTGAGTGCATACACATGCTTCATCACAGTGATATCATGTAGAACTCACGGTGTAATATTTGCAAAATTTGCGTATGCGCCCTGCGAATTTAAAACCTAGTTTGTTATTCACATTACACCGTTATAATTTATAAAACGTTGTTTGAATATCACGAATGTTGTCCGGGTTCAATTAAAAAAGATATTTCAATTTCATTGGAATATCTTTTTTAATTGAATGACAACATTCGTGATATTCATACGAACATCATGTCGTGATTTTCACAAATTTTATTCATACTGATATCATACGGAAGTAATAAATGAAAATCATGTCGTGTACCGGTGTACCGATGGCATAAAAAATCATTTCGTGATTTTTTATGCCCAAACACCGATAGCATAAAAAATCATCCATCGGTGTTTGGATTAACATACATTTTCTCACAATGTACGAACGTGGCGCAAAAATGATTATCCAAACACCGTATTTTATTCAATATTATACTGGAGCAAGCGAGTCTAGGATAACCTATAGCTTACTCCTTTTCTTCTTGGTTTTATATTTTATTTATTATTATTTTTGTCACTTTTAGTTTCTTTTTTCACTTCTTTATTCACAAAATTAGATTTATTCACCATCCTTCTAAACACATTACGTTACATTCATGATCCATATATTTAACATTAACATAATACACTTCTAAACTCCATTATTTTTTTCCATTCCAACCATGAACCACATGGCAAATGCACAGACTTTTCTTTAAATATTTCAGTCATCCATCGTGGAAATTGTTCCTACATTAACAAATCTATTGTAGAGTTTGTATTTATGACACTGACCAGCGTATTTTTGTGCTGGGATTCCAATTTCGTCCCTCCAGGTTCACAGGTCATGAACCAAGTGCACTCTTCGAAGAACGAAACCCGAATGAAAGAAGGACTTGATTGAGTGTGACCATATGCAAGGAATGCGGTCGATGTTGCCAATGGTAAAAAAAAATCCATATTGGGAACATTCAATTATATTAAGTTGGCTACATTGAAAATTTGAATTTCCCGCACAAACTAAATTAATTGCCATCTTTTTTTTTAATAATAATAAATAATAATTCTTCTTCTTCCTTGGTGGCCAAAGGCCTTAATGGTCTCGGTTTCAATGTACCACTTTGACCAGAAGCAAGTTTTAACGTCTGTGCGTTTCACGAAGCCATCCACACATAGACACGTGAATTTTCCAATCTTGGAACATCCACTAAATCTTTTGTACCAATCGCAAAATACCTCGCTAAAAGGTCAAAGCCTGCGATATTGTTCAAAAATACAGGTATATTTCTATACCCGGAATCCAATTTTGTCCATCCTGGGTCAAAGTTAGCTATGTTTCATACTTTTTCATCGAACGATGGCCCAGAGCTGCAAATGCGATGCACTACACACGAAAGACAAAATCGAACTCATAAATAAATAATACTTCTTCTTCTTCCTTGGTGGCCAAAGGCCTTAATGGTCTTGGTTTCAATGTACCACTTTGACCAGAAACAAGTTTTAACGTCTGTGCGTTTCACGAAGCCATCCACCCATAGACACGTGAATTTTCCAATCTTGGAACATCCACTAAATCATTTGTACAAATCACAGAATACCTCGCTAAAAGGTCAAAGCCTGCGATATTGTTCAAAAATACAGGTATATTTCTATACCCGGAATCCAATTTTGTCCATCCTGGGTCAAAGTCAGCTATGTTTCATACTTTTTCATCGAGCGATGGCCCAGAGCTGCGAATGCGATGCACCACACACGAAAGACAAAATCGAACCAAAATAAATAAATAATAATAATTAATTAATTAATTTAACTAATTTAATTAATTAATTAAAATAAATATAATAATAAATAATAATAATTCCCACATTTGAAATTCGCACCTTAATTTATTATACCATTGGAACTACCTTCTTTATCTCTGGGAACTACTAGGATGTATGTCAGTTTGTGCGGGAAATTCAAAATTTCAGTGTAGCCAACGTAATATAATTGAATGTTCCCAATAGGGAATTTTATTTTTTTACCATTGGCAACATCGACCGCATTCCTTGCATATGGTCAAATTGACCATATGCAAGGAATGCGGTCGATGTTGCCAATGGTAAAAAAATAAAATTGTCGTTTTTACTTGCGTGTTAAATGCGCAGTTCTTTGAAAAAAAAACACTTATTACTGGAGCTAAGGTATGTGTAAAGCTACTAGATATTTATTTTGAAAGTTTATATGTGTTTTAAGTAAAATAATATGCAAAATTACCTTTATTGTAAAATAAGCTAACTTTGAAGGGGTAGGTGCTCTTGCACCAAAATTTTCTCTTATTGGGCAAGTGCACCTACCTTCATGGGGGAAAGTGCGCCCACTTTCCCCGGAGTTAGTTTCGGCCTACGCAGTTACGTATGTTCTTGTTTCAAAGCACATTTTTTCATAGTTACCATAGGAAGAAGAGGCGAAATGAAGTTTGACATCAGTTTTCCGCATTATAATATTAATTAGATTTACTGTATGAAGTTTACCTATCTTTGTTTTTTAATAGTATTGTATTTTTGTTTGATTATTTCATAAACAGTTGAGAATAAAAACTATCAGTTTGTAATCATGGATTTTTTTTGCCAGATAATTTCCCTAAATATTCGAGTTAAATGTAATAACTTTCAATTTAATTGCGGTAAATTGCAAAAAATTCACAAAACTGTGAGTTTGTTGCACTTGCCCCGTGTATACGTTCGTACTTATAATATGGGAACAGGTGGTGGTGCACTTGCCCCAAATATGGGGCAAGTGCACCCACATGTATACATTTTTACAAAAAAATAGCTGTGGTGGCATATTACCTTTACCGTAGAGTTTAGATCTGCCATGAGATACACCACTAAGGGAGTTGTATACATGCCAAAGACTGGACTCTTACCATCGTTGTAAAGAATTTTATAACTATTCAATTTGTGTTTTGCACCTGGGTGGGTGCATTTACCTCACTTCACCCTACATGAATCTATAAACAGCACTACGGTTTTCGTATTGTTAATCTTTTACGGAAGAAAGGGAGGAAGGAAGGCAATCTATAAATCAAGCTTTAGGGTACGGGAATTATAAACGCCACTACAACTTTTGTATTGTTTATATTTTATGGGAAAAAGGAAAGAAGGAAGCCAATCTATAAATCAGGCTTTACGTTCCAAAATAACGTTATTGAAAGAACGACCCACCTCCTAATTTATTTTCGTACTTTAAAGCAAAGGTGTTCAAATTACCATGGTATTTCTTAACTTTTGCAAAGATTGCCGTATAAATCCATATACTGACCTCATATTTCCTTTGTATTAAATTTTCCATTGAATTTTTAAAAATTATTGCAAATTATTGCAAAGACCCCTCTAAAGAAAAGATATAGTTGGATGCACAGACTGTGGTTGGATGCCCTGACTTAAAAAGTGGCGCGCTGAACTGGCGCGAATACTGCCAATATTCCGGTGAAACCATTTTTACATATGCATTGTCCGTACTTGCTTTTAAGTTTTTATATTCTTGTGTTTTTGTTCTAAGTTAATTCAGTAAAATGGTTAACAAACCATTAAATAAGCTTTATGTGCTAAAACGAGGTAAATTTTAATAATTTAGAAATTGTAGGTTATACAAAGAAATTATTTTTTGCATTTAGATGGAAGACAAGAACAAGTTCATTTGGACAAAATAACATCTAGAATACAGAAATTATGTTATGGACTGAATATGGATTTTGTGGACCCAGTATGTATTATTATTATTATTATTTATATGGAGTGGTAATTTTTCAGTAGCAATAAAATCTCCAGGCTCCCAGGTATTTTAAAATAAAATGTCTGGGTTCAATAAAACAATAAAAATAATATTGTCCAATTCTAAATAGTTCAATGTTGAATACTAACCACTTTTTATCAAGTAAGTTTTTGCTGCCTATTACCACATGTATAAAGCACACTGATTTATAATTAATGTTAAATGGTTTGTGTTGAAATGCAGATTATTCAATAGCCAATTGCATTAGCAAAACTTGTAAAATCGAAGAGATTAAAAAACTTCATTCACAGTGTTTGACATATATTTATTCAACAACATTTCTTGACAACCAAAAACAACAATGGTTACAAATCAAAGCTTCCTACAAAGATACATAGAAATATAGTTTATTAATAGATACATTGATTCAATTCTTAATATATTTCAACAGTTTGATGAGTCATCAATGATGACAGTTTTAATAACACTAGTAAACAATAAAAAAAGGTCCGTAATAAAAATAGCTCAGTCCTATAGATTTTGACCTGCTTGACGCAAATCCGGCGCCCAAAAAATTTTCCGAAGTCTCGTTTAGACGATACGGGCAGGACCATGATACAAAGAAAAATTGTTAAATAATAACGATAAAAATTAGTAAATAAAAAAGGTCGGTAATAAAAATAGCACAGTCATATAAATATTCACCTGCTCGACGCAAATCCGGCGACCAAAAAATGTTCCAAAGTCTCGTTTAGATGATACGGGCAGCACCATGATACAAAGAAAAATTGTTAAATATTAACGATAAAAATAAATAAACAAGATAATTTGAACGATAAAAAACAGTAAACATCAAAACAACATGCCTTAAATTTTTACAATATGTACAGATATGTTCATGGAATGCTGAAATATAAGGTAAAAGTAACGTCATCCTAAAATTTTCAAATGGTGTATCTATGCAATAAATGGTACCATAATACTGTGCTCCTATTTTTTACTTACGACTTCAGAATTTTTTTTTAAAAACATTTCAGTTAAAATTTGTTGCCTAGTGTAATTAAAGTTTATACAGTTTTTAAATATCTTTGGGTCATGTGTGAGCTGAGCTACAGCTGGCAACCCTACAAGGATATCTGATAAAAATGTTTGATTATATTTATTACACTGCAAACGAGAAAATATTGACTATTCAACGCTCATTACAGTGAATTAAAGATTTGAACCCTTGCACAGTGGGCTAGAGAGCTAATTAACGCGCAGAAATTATTTCGTTAAGTAATTCTTAGTTAATGTTAATTTTTTTGGTCTTATTGATGAAATTTTAATAAAAATTACTGTTTACTACCAATAGAAAAACAAATCCAAAATATAATACTTTAACAACAAAAGTATATTTGTGTGATGGGCAAAATTAAGATCTATAGTTTTAATGAGTAAATTACAAAAATATAACTAAACATTTATAAAATAAAACCTTATTACATATGACAGTTTATACAATAATATTACTTCTGGGCTTTCAGCGTTTTTCTATAATTTTTGATAAAATGTAAATGCATGGTCTACTAAGTAATTTAAAACCAACTTTCTATTAAAATGCTTTAAACAAAAAATATTTGTGGCGCCTACTAGCACTTGATTTTAGATTTATTTAAAAGACAGAACAGTAAGCTATTAAAAACACTTAACACAGAGTGTGAGAATGTGTGACATTTTTTAAAACCTTAGTATTGTTTATACATACATAAAAAATATGCAGCGCTTTCTTTATTGACACAGGGACAGTAAAAACTTACCATTATTTGTTCCAGCCAACATATGACAGTATTGAATACAATGATGGTCAAAAATTAAAAATAAATTAGGAATTAACATTGTAAGAGAAGCAAAACCTTCAAGCGCAATTTACCAACACAAAGCAAGTATTCTTAAACTTTGACTGGTTACCTGATAAAAATTCAACAGATTTGAAGGTGATATAACATTATTTGATTTGCTACAGATATTAATCAATTTAAAATTCACTAATACTTATCAGTAATTAATTCAAAATTATTTATTGTTATTAGAAGCTTTTTATTTGATGGTTTCCATCACCAACATATATATGACAATATCTATTTTAGCGGAGCTAATTCCGGACATCCTACACTATAGGCATGCGCTTTTTAAAATTTGGGGTTAAAAATGTAAAGTGCGCATGACAAATATTAAAATGCGCATGCCTGGGATGTCCGAACTAGTTCGGGATTAGCACCGCGAAAACACCTAATGCATTTCTTCTGGGCTTCCAGCGTTTTTCTATATTAAAAAATTAAAGAATTAAGTTTTTTCCGAGATACATCTATTTTTGTAAATACGTAGTCTACTAAGTAATTTAAAACTAATTTTATATTGAAATGCTTTAAACCAAATCTTGCTATTAGTCTGACTAACTAAGACTTATTCAGACTTTTTCCGACTCAATAAGGGTTATTCTGACTTTTTCCGACTTAATAAGTCATATTCAGAGTTTTTAAGAGAAAGTAAGACTTTCAAAACTCCTACTTTTACTTATTAAATTTTTTCAGAGAAAAGTTTTCTCTATTCAAAGACTGAAGGTTAAAACGTTCACGATAGAATAAATAATATTCCTCAGCGCGAGATTTGAACGCTTGACTCAGGTTAGTAATCAAAACAAATATTAGAAATATTCCCCAACACCAAAACAAAACCTAAAGTGTTTAAAGTATTTTTCGCCAACGATGTTCACATCTTCAGAAGCAAAGTGTAACTAAATGAAATGTATTCAGTTCTGTGGTTTGTGGGAAAAGAACTAGTTTATGAAATTATTATTATTTTATTATTATTTGTTTTGGTGGTCTGTATTCTTTACATTAATCATTATCAAAAGTCAGATAACAATGAATCTTATGACATTATTTTTCTTAGCCATCTAATACATTACAACCCCTTTCTTGAGCTTTTTCAATAACTATTTTACCTAACATAAATACAAATGATTGTAAACAACAATTTAGCAATCACTAATAAATATTAAAATATTCTTGAAATAAATTCTTTAGCTTTAGTGGCTGCTAAACGAGATTTTGGTCGTTCTAAAATATTAGGTTTCAATAATTTCAAGTCAGTTTGTACTTCTCCATCCCCAACTGAATTATCTATAAGTTGTCGAGCATCATCAATAGAGGTGGAAGCAATAGATTGTGATTGCGAACGAGGTTTAATTTGTTCATTTTCTAATGTTTCATTTATTTGATGCTCTTCACTAGTTCTTATTTGATCAATATGTCGTTTTATTTCACGATTTTCATGAGTTAACAAACAACTATAATTTCTTGGACCAAAACTCTTTTTAACAATTGCTTTATTCGGATTTTTGTAATTTCTAACAAAGACCTTTTGACCTTTTAATAATTCTCAATTACGTTTACCCTTATAATTTTTAATTGTATTTTGCTGTTTAATCTCAATTATTTTTTTAGTAATAGGTGGTTTAAATAAATTGAAACGAGACTTCAGTTCTCTACCTAACAATAATTTAGCTGGTAATTCATTTGTAGTACAATGTTTCGTGATACGGTAATCAAATAAAAATCTATTTAAAACAGGCCTGGCCATTTGTTTCTGGATGACCAGGTGCAGTAAAAATGTGATTAATACCATTTTTTTTTAATAAACATTTCAAATTCCTTGGATGTAAATTGCCTACCATTATCAATAACCAATGTGTCAAATAATCCAAATCTACATATAACTTCACGAAATTTTTTAATTGTAAAAGATGAAGTTATCTCCTTTGTCTTAAAAACTTCTATCCATTTAGAAAAAGAATCTATAATTATAAGTAAATAAAATGAATTTATCGGACCAGCAAAATCAACATGTCGCGAGGCGAAAATTATAATATTCTATCTACATAAACAATAAATTGTCAGGAAAAATTGACCATATAAAAATCAATTTTAGTTGGCTTTATTCGGTCAAAATATAATTTATTGACTCTTCTAGGTAGTTTTATATTATTATGTGAATTATGTTTTGCTCATTTATACTTTTTATAAAAGAATAATAAACAAAAATAAATTATAAAATTTAAAGATAGAACAAAAGTACAAAATAAAAATTAATTTGATTTTAAATTTTGTTTTATCTAGGTAAATGAATTTTAAATAAAAAAGCATTTCTTTCACAAATTTATTCTTACACAATATAGTAAACAATATGAAACGAAAAACCAAATGAAAAACGTCATTCTTCCAGCTTCAATTTTTTTTCTCATGTATCCTATCTTAAAATTCTTAAAACATGCTTTTAATAAACTGCTTATCAGCGTCTGGAATTAATTTAAATAATTGGTATAAATAAACCTTAACTTCGGCGAGTAAACATTTTTTTTACCATCGGACATGGTCTCACATCGGGCAACTTAAAAAAACCTTTGTGGCTTCTTGTTCCAATACGATAAATTAGATTTGCCTGTACAAAATCTTTGTCATCTTGTACTTTTTTGTAAAAATTCTGGTAAATATTTAAGGACCTTTACCGATGCATAAGGTAATTTTAAATTAATATTCTCTGAGGACTTCCCGTATTTGAGTTTGCCCTGGCTCTGAAAATTTTTGTGTTATTTCCTTGATCTCCGGGAATTTTTCCATACACTTCTTTAAGGCAAGCGACAACTGAATTAAAGGTATTTAATTTTTTGAATAAAAGAAACAGAAAATATTAGATCGTGGAAGAACAAATACATTCTCCATATCAAAACAAATAACGGCTGTTGTTTTATCTGTATTCTGGCGGTCCTTATACTTTTTATTTTGCAAAACTCCTTTGATTTAAAGTTTTTTAAATTTCTCTACTTCTATAGCTAGGTTACCACCATTTTTTAAAATACGATATTCTTTGCAAACGCCACATTTTGGTTTAAGAAATTAGTAATTGAAGATGCTTTGATAAAAGCTCTTTTTAACGGGTGTAATATTTTT